GCGCGCGCGCGCGCGCACACACACACACACACGCACACGCGCACACACACACGCACGTACGCACGCACACGCACACACTCACGTATATAGAGAGTTGGTGCGATGAACTGTGGTGAGCGAGACGAATGGAGAATTGTTAAGGGCGGCTTTGATAGCACCGCTAACCATGTAACCGTGAAATAGTATAATGAAAGATATAGTACCTGCTAAAAAATACATTTTTTTGAGTATACGACATGAAAGCAAGAACAAAAACGGTTATTGGTATTATAAAGATACACACTGTGCATTCAGTACACGTACAATTTTTTTTTTATTAATTATTTATATACTGGTACGAGTGCAAAATATCATGAACTGGTAGTGTTTTATTCATCAGTAGTTTTTATATTTATATATATTTTTTATCACCACGTCTTGTACTCAAGTTTTTACTGTGACCTCTTATTCCTAATTCGTTGGAAAAAAAGGCATGTGTAGCTTGATATTACGTACTTGAGTAGTATAATCGGCTCCTGTGGATTTCTTCTTGTCCCCAGTACTGTGGGTTTTAATTCTCGCAATCTTACTATGTAGGTTGCTCGTTAAACACATTGAAGTTCACCCATGCCTTTTAGTGGAATCTGACTATCACTGCAACGTACTCTGGACTTGGTCTTATGGCATTCGTGAGTTTTTGTTGCTGTTTTTTTGTATTTCTTGTCTTCGTTCTTATCTACGTCTCCGTACATGGATGCCTCTTGCATTGTCGTGATCAGTGGTGAGAGCATCTTGTGATTTTTTATCATTGATCTGGTCCTCTGAGCTAAGATGCCCATTTACATTTTAAAAAAATCATTATTAGCTTCCCACTTTTTCTTATCTGTTCTAGTGTAGGGTCGATTATTTCTTTTTTCTATCCCCTGACCTGATCTCACAAAACTTCGAACACTGCAGGTGGAATTGTTCGTGTAAAATTATATAAAATGTCTTCGTCCTCCAAGAACTCTCTTTAGCTTCGATAATCACCTCTCTTACAATTGTGCCTCCTTTTATGTTCCACTAAGTTTTTTTTCTTTTCGTTTCTTTTCATGTGAAAGGAACCCTTTTCATTTCACAACTACGTGAAATTTAGACAGCCAGTGAATGTTTTTTTTCCCCTAGTATAATTCCTAGTAGAATGTAGTTGTAAGGAAAGCATTGCTCATTTACGAGTCCAAGTAATTTTGCACTCCACGGTTTCTGCTTTGGGATATAATACGTTTCAAGTCACTTTTTAGTCTTAGAATTATAGTTAAGAGAACGTCTTAACAAATTTACTTGATTTAATTATCTATTTATTTTTAGGTGGGCTATTTTTGTAACTTGTAAACATGTAGATGTATGAAGTAGGCATGTTGGCAACAGTCAATTGAATTTTGTCTTCCTTGCGGTGTTTGGAGTTTCTGTTTTTTTCTGTATATTCCGTCTTTTTTTCAAATTTCTGTTCTATTTAATTTACTGTGTGTGTGTGTGTGCGTGTGCGTGCGTGCGTGCGTGTGCGTGCGTCTGTTGTGCGTCTCTCTGTGTAAACAAAAATATGATAATACTCGTAAAAGAGCTTTGCAATTAGCTTACATGTGTGCATTTTTCATGATATTGTCGTGTTTGTCTGTCAAAACAAAGTGTCATAAAAGGTGCGTTGACACTATATCAGTAATATTCTGTTACAGAATGATGGATTATGTTAACTGTTTTGCATTTTATAAATTATTACTACTGTTTGTACCTTTTGTTTTAGACTAAATGGTAACTTGTAACCAGTTATATTGCATTTTAAGTAGCCATATAAACTATATGAGCTATGTAAAATTGTCGACTGCAATCTCAGAGCTTCGAACATCAACACTTAATGCTTTGTCGTTAATCAATTAGGTGATTCTTTATTCTGTGCAAACCTGACGAGTATAGAATAAATATTTTCTAAAGCACGGCAATCAGAAGTACAAGAAATAACCCAGTTGTTTTTATTCTTCAGATATTTAAAACAAACGAGTGTATAATAATTATTTTCAAGAGCACAACAGTCAGAAGTACAATGAATAAGCCTGTTGTTTTTCTTATTCAGATCCTTTCAGCAAACGAGTATATATATAAAAAAAAAAAAAAATATTAAGAGCACAGCAGTCAGAATTACAGATCCTTTAAATAAACGAGTATTAAAAAAAAAAAAAAACTTCAACAGCACAACAGTCAGAATTACAGAATGTTGTTTTTCTTATTCAGATCCTTTGAGCAAACGAGTATGTAATAATAAATAAAAAAAAAACTTCAAGAGCACGACAGTCAGAAGTATAAGAAACTATCCTGTTGTTTTTTCCTTACTCAGATCCCTCAAGCAGAAGAAACGACCTCCGGAATCCTGGTTCAACATGCAACTAGACGAGTGTGCTGCATCAGGACATCCGGAATGCAGACCTTCACCTGGGGACAACATGACCCTTCAACTTACCTTCTTCTGTGGTCATCATCCCACTTGTCG